CTGTGAGCTAGGCTGACACCATGGCACTCACCCGGGCAACACAGAGCAAGACTCTGTCTCCAAAAAAAAAAAAAAAAAAGGCAAAAGAAAACAGTATTGTTCCACTGTTAACAAAGAAAAGTCCAATAAACAATTTCACCTTTGTAATTGTCTTAGGTCAATTACATCAGGGGTCCCCAACCTTTTTAACACCAGGGACTGGTTTCGTGGAAGACACGTTTTTCCACAGAGGGGGGACAGTGCACAGATGTCACTGCCTCGGCTCCACCTCAGATCATCAGACATTGGATTCTCATGGGGAGTGTGCAACCTGGATCCCTTGCATGCAGTTTACAGTGGGGTTCTTGCTCCTATGAGGATCTGATGCCCCCCATGGGGGCGGGGCTTGGGCAGTGATGTGAGCCAGATGGAAAGCAGCTATGGGTGTAGGTGGGGCCGGTTCCCGGTGGGGCACAGACTGGTGCTGGTGTGGGGCCCGGGAGTTGGAGACCGCAGAATTACATCATACCTAGATGGTGTTCCACATCCCAACAACCAACCTCACAGCTCTTGATAAAAGTATTCAAAAAGACTGATGTTTTTTGAGGTCACTTTACTTACCAAAAACTTTTTCAAGTCCTTGTAGTTAGTAATGATTCCATTGTGAATAACAATAAATTCTAAAAGAGATAAAAGTATTGATGAAAAAAATGTTAGAAGTCTGAGAAATGCTATAAATAGGTAATACTATGATTAGATTTTTCTCAAGTCAAAAAATTTGTAACATGCTATATACTTCAAGGTATAATCAAGCAGCATCTGCTTTTCAATATCAGATTATCATCAGGTAGATCAGCATCATTGTTTATGTGGCTTAGCGGAAGTACACAATACTAATAAGGAACATGAGTATAGCAGGAAAATACAAGAAACTAGAAGTCCAGAGACATCCCTTTCAGCTGTGACTAAACTACTAACACAATGTTAGCTACCATGAGAAAGGAGTAAGTTTACTGGGCCTGTTTCCTTATTTGCAAAGTGAGAGGGCTGAACTGAATATTATTCTCATTTCTCTGTTCATTCATTCCTGAGTGTAAGTTTAAAGAGAAGGCCTTCCAAACTAAAACCATGATCTGATTTACACTAAATGAGTTTAAGAACTAAAGTTAAAAAACTAAGAAGGAATGTCAGATAAATGAATGTTAAAATATCATTCCAAGAGCAAATAACTATGATCTTGGGATAATTTCATCATTTTTTAATTAAGTAAGTTTGAAAAATTTAAGAAAGGATAATCAAGAGTTGACAATATCATTATTTGTAGCCACTGACAGTACATAAAAACTATTAATACCAATGTGGATTTATTAAAGTTCATATATATTAGGAGAAAAATTACTACCAAATTCAATTTTATATCAAATTATCAAAATGTTCATAATATACTTAAAGATCTATCATTTTGGTCTGACAGTAAATGAACTTGAACTGAAATATACTTAGAAACCAAACAGTAAATACTTTCACTAGATTTTTAAGAGAGAGATGATGATACCAACTATCAATAAAAAAATGAATTTTAAAAAAACATTAATGCCAGAATACAGATAATCATAAACAGCTGATAAAAAGCCTTAACTTAAAGCCAAATTCTCAAAACATAATTGAAATATAAATTTTTAGGAAGCTCTTATAAAGACGTCAGTGTTAAAAGTCTCAGTGGTTGCTAGCATTCTGATTCAATAATTATTGAAGCACAAGAAATCTAAATAGGCAGTTTCTGAATTAAATTATGAAATCAAAAAGGATATATACATACACACACACATATATATTTGCTTTTTTTTTGAGACCGAGTCTCACTCTGTTGCCCCAGCTAGAGTGTAGTGGCATCATCATAGCTCACTGCAACCTCAGTTTCTGGGCTCAAGTGATCCTCCTGCCTCAGCCTCCTGAGCAGCTGGGACTATAGGCACGCACCACCATGCCCAGCTAATTTTTTCTATTTTTTGTAGAGACAGGGTCTCACTCTTGATCAGGCTGGTCTCAAACTTCTGACCTCAAGCAATCCTCCCACCTCGGCCTCCCAGAGTGCTAGGATTACAGGGATGTGCCACTGCACCTAGCCTCTGCCTTTAAAAAAAAAAAATAAGTAAAGAGAAAGGCATCTCTCTCTCTCTCTCACTGCCTTTAAAATACAAAAAAATCATCCTGCCTTTCCTATACAATCTGTACCTCAGGGTAACTAAGTAATTGATATGGAGAAGTTTCTCTTTATAGAAGTATTCGAGATAATATATGAAGAAGAAATGATAGCAATGAAAAATAACCATATTACAACCTCTAGAAATAATTAATCTTGGCAATGATCAATGGCTGCTAACAACACAAAAATAAAAACATCCAAACATTATTGTACCAATTTATAGGAAATACAAGAGATAGAGAAACATGTTAAATGACACACGGGACACATGCAATTAGCAAAACAGACTGTAGGAAAACTATGGGACAAACAACACATTAAAATGAAAGGAAAAAGGAGAGAAAGAGGGAGAAGCTATAAGTTAAGTGACTGAAGAGACATCGATCTAAGTCCTTACCCTTTAGGGATACACACTTAAATACATACAAATTAAATGCTATGATATCTAGGTATCTGTGATATATATGTATGAAATCTACTGGCTTCTAAAACAATCTTGGTGGGAGGGACACAGATAAATTTAATTGATCATGTACTGATAAATGTTAAAGCTGGGTGATGGATCATTAGGTTCTGTATACTCTCTACTTCTGAATGTTTTAGATTTTCCAGATGAAAAAAAATAAAAGTAACAAAAACCTAAGAGCTGTCATTCATCTTCCATTATCGGCCTTCTACAATCATTCCGAAGTACACAGAATCTGTCCATACCATTATTTTTATCGGAGCGCTGGGGGTGGCTATTGACTGGACTGGGTACTCCATGTGTTGCCCAACGGGTATGAGCTATTCCAAGGTGTACATCAAATTCTATATCCAAATCCATATCCTGTTGCTCTGGAGAAGATAAAATGAAAAATTTCAATATTAAATCGTGATGCAGAGATAATAGTTATATGCTATATTTAAATGTAATTATTACAATGCTGCTCACCTGGAATATACTATTATTGAAACTGAAGATCAAGCATATTCAAAATCATAATTAAAAGACTTAGTTCCAATTAAATAAGTCAGAAGTTTAAAAAAAAAGGCTCAGGAGTTAATGCAACTGAAATGTTTAGGGTAAATGGTTTCAATAACCACCAAAAAAGTATCTATAGCGAGTTAAGAATATTAACAACTGGTAATGCTAGGCAAAGTGTATATGGGTAACAATGTACTATGTTCTCTCAATTTTTCTGGAAGTTTGAAAATTTTCAAACTCAAGAGTTAAGGACAATAGAAGAATTAATGTAATTTTAAAAATCTACATTTAATCTTTGCCTTGTGGCCAGGTGCGGTAGCTCATGCCTATAATCCTGGCACTCTGGGAGGCAGGAGGATTGCTTGAGCTCAGGAGTTCCAGACCAGCCTGAGCAAGAGTGAGACCCCATCTCTACTAAAAATAGAAAGAAATTAATCGGACAACTAAAAATATATATAGAAAAAATTAGCCGAGCATGGTGGCACATGTGTGTAGTCCCAGGTACTCGGGAGGCTGAGGCAGAACATCGCCTGAGCCCAGGAGTGTGAGGTTGCTGTGAGCTAGGCTGACGCCTCGGCACTCACTCTAGCCCGGGCAAAAGAGTGACACTCTGTCTCAAAAAAAAAAAAAAAAAAAGAAATCTTCATTTCAAATTGTTCAATGGCAGTTAAACTTTTTCAAAGGGAAATTACTCATAAGTATAAAAGAGTTAAGTAAATATGTCCAAATTAAAGTTTAGTTTTTTCAAAGAAGCTGGTAAGGCTGGCCACTTATCTGCCATGACTGCCATTTTGTCAAGTAAAATTTAATTTTTAAAAATTGGGTTGCTCAGCCTGGGCAATACAGCAAGTCTCTGCTGCTCTTTGGTTGTTCCAATATCACACACAGTACCTGTATGAGCATAGGTTTTTCTACCTCCACATCAGCATGAGTTTCCAAAGTGTAAGTTTTAAAATATCTCCTTATCTGAAGCAGATGTTTGTACCTACAAGCATCATTTTCAGAAAATGGCAACTTAAATTTAATAACATAAAAGCACTTAAGACTATGAGCACCTCGCTAAGAAAATTTCAGATGCAACCTGGATCACAGACTAGACACACCTGGTTTGTAAGTAAAGACTGTGAAACCTTATTGAAATAAAAACTGTCTTTTCTCTCTTTTTTTTTGTAACTGAAATAAAAAATTGAATACAAGTTAACTGACTAGTCAAATTATTAAAATTCCTATGCCTCCTGAATTTGTGTTCTTATGAATATAAAATTTTACTTTATATATTTTTTCATTTAACGTCAATATTTTGGCACCCTGGAAGTTGTAATTGAAACTTATCAGAGATAAGTGTTCAAATTCATTCTCTAAACTTAATACCTTCTGAATCAAAATCCATCTACAATGTTAATTAAAATTTAAATTTGTTTTATTTTTCTTATAATGTAATTTACAAATTAATTCATCATTAAAGATTCAAACTACACAGATGCTATAGAATAAATTGTGAAAATATCCCCTTTCTACCACCATACAGGTTCTAATCCCTTCCTCAGAGTAACCACTGTTAATCCCATTCACGTTGTCCTAGTCATTCATATTTTTCTATATATATGAACCTAGATGCATATGGTTTTAG